CATTACCATGGATAACAACTGTTACAGGTTTTCTGAAGGGTGAGGCTAATTTGAAAAAGAAAGCATCCAATTCAAAGCATTAGAAGGTTTGACACCTGAAACTCTACCTCAAACATCAAGATCATTAAATCAATAGGTAGAAGACCAGAAATGATGAATGCTGCTTCATAACTAACAGTCCTAAATGTAATCCTGAATAATGTGAAGGAAAAATCTCCTTCAAACTCTTCTAAAAAGTTTACAGTTTATTTTCTTCCTTAAAGAATTTCTTTAAGGAATTTTTTTTTTTTTTTTTCCACTTCTTATGCTCTAGAGGCATAAGAAATGACTGATACAATGCCTTGGTTATAAATTAAGTTTTATTAAGTTTGAAAGCACGAGTTTTAATAACGCAAGTGTTCTTTGAAATTGCATAAATCAGAACTTTTTCACTTTTACTGGATATATAAGAAATATGTTGTTCCCACTGTAGTTTATTGTCCACTATAATTCCCAAATACTTGATACACTGCATTTCTTCATAGACTTACTTCTATATTTAAAACAATATTTTGAGAAGACATCAATTTTTTAGGTATCATGATAATTTTCAACTCTGAAAAATTAAACTTAAGATTTGACCATTCATAAATACAGAAATACAGTTTAAGAAATTCTGAGAATGAACACTGGCATCATTTATGTTCTTACACTGCATAACAAATAAATCATCTGCAAAAGCAACTTGGTGACTATTCTGGAATCGTATAAATCTCTAATTACAAAGCAAATAATTCATAACATGATTCCAATCAAAAGGAGTAGATACAGAGCCCTGACAACATCCATTCTCCAAATCAAATTTTTTCATGGCATTATCTAAAGCAAGTTCAGAGCGAAACAAGAAATTTTTCATTAAATAAAAAATATTTTTAGGGATGTAAAGAAACCAATGTAAACGAAGAATGACAGCCACCATGGCATTATCAAAGGTACCTCTTATACCCAAGAAAATAAGAAAGCTTACATAATTCTTACTCTTTCCCTAGACAACAAGAAGGCAGAATTGAAGCAAATCATTTTCAGCAGATCTGCACAGAGCAAATCCACCCTGATACTCACTCAAAAGGCCAGAGCGACCAAAATGATAATTTAGTCCATTTATACATAGCTTCTCTAGATACTTGCTCAAACATGGAAGTAAACTAATGCAACAAATGTTATCAGTATGCATCTTCAGTGTCTCAGCACTTTTAGGAATGAATAAGAGTAACCTTCCCACATTTCCAGCTTCATAGGAAAATGGCAAAACTAAAACACACGTTAAACAATATATGCAAGATAGAGTGGGCAACCAATATGAAAATTTTTAATTATTTCTTTATTTATCCTATCAGACATCAGTGACTTATTCAAACATATGATGTCAATCATACAGCAATGGGTTAGTTAATTATGGCAAAGCACACGAGGGCTATCTGCCTAAAGGGAGGGATGCATTCGTGGAGGACTTTCTAAGGGAAACTGGCTCGTATACACGCTACACATGGGGAAAACCTGAAAACACCCATGCAGCCAGCCCGTTTGCGGGATTCGAACCACGAACCGAACCACCAGTGTACAGAGTCTTTACTACTCGGCTGCTGGTGGGCTCCTACAGCCAATGTCTGTAGTACAGAAAGAGATATGATCAGCATCATACGCCACACTGGCTTCCCAATGCGAAGACCAATGAATATAAGTATCCCGTATTAGAGAATCACAAGGGACTGACACCTCTATAATAGAATGAACAATATCTTTAAAAGAACAAGTAAAGCAACCAAGAAATATTTTGAGTTTTTAGCAAAATTAGTATGAACTCCAAAAGTATAATCTTGTTCCAAATATTTGTTACAGATACACTGGTAAGAAAATCTTTTCATGATTTTAATTTGCTTGCTTCCAAGTTTATAACTGTACTGTAGCCTAATCTGAAGATAACTTATATATATATATATATATAATATAAATTTTCTCTTAAAAGAGAATTTTTTGTCTTCTGTTACTATCCTGTAGCAGCATTTAATTACTTTCACATGCAAGAAGGTATTTCATCCAAACACCAAGGAACTTTATAAAAGCCACATCTTTTCAAGTGAATAGACTTCTACGGCAAAAACAATCAAATCTTGGAACTCTTGAACACATAACTCTAATATCACACTGAGTACAATTTTCAATTCAGTTTAAAATATTCGTGCTTGCATTAACACAAAGACTATCAAAATACATATTTCCAATTTGCTCTTTTCATATTGAAGAAATTAATTTTTGCAGAAGAAGAATAGTTACCACTGGGAATTTTCACTTTAAAGAAAGCATTCTATGATCAAATAAAGAACCATAATCGAATATATACCATTTCCCAGCACGCTGCAGAAGTTCCTGCCCAACAACAGTCACATCAGTACAACTGTTTCCTCAAGTCGTGTATAAGGTAGGCCCATTCTCTTCACTAGTCAAAAAAAGCTGCTATGTACTGAAGAATTTGCTCAATTTAATATTCATGGAGTCAATCAAAGAACTAAACCAAACACCAGATTTACTGTTAGCATCCATACACCAAATAAAATTTCAGATTTATTAAAAAAATATAATCTATTTTGTAGACATTAGCACTAATATTAACAGAAGGCTGAAAAACAGTAAGATTCAGATGCTTACTGTTTAGCGTTAATTCAGATGCTTTAAAGGAAATGTCAACAATGCCAGCATTATAATCCGAAATCTGAAAACATGATAATCACACTTGTTCATTAATTGATGTTTTGAACTTCACATTTGATGTCAAAAAAAAAAGTCTAAGAATTTAAAAAAATCAAGAAGCTTGCCATCAATATTATTTCTTTCAAGATCCAAAACAAGCTGCTGAGTAGCCCTTTTTGACTTATGCATGTTAAGTTGAACAAAACTAAGACAGTCCTTAAGCAGCCATAAGCTGAAGGGTTAATAAAATTTTTTAAGATCTGATTACATACATTAAATGATGATGAGTAAGATTTCAATGATTTAATTAGTATTCATACAAAATGATATAATTTTCTCCACTTTTCCCAAAATATTAGCAAGCTGCCAATTCTGAACTGTTATTAGGATATGTTACTTTTGCAATATTAAAAATGAAAGACACAAAAATAAGAAATATATAAAAATATTTCCAAATAAAAAACATTTCTATAAGTCAGGAATAATATGCCTGTAGAAGGCACATGTGAAATGAATTCTACAATATAACTGAAACAAACAATCTAGTTGAAAAGCAAACATTATAGAAAATAGAACAAAAAACAGTGGCACATGCTAATGCATTAAATGCACAAGTAAAGCATTGATACAAAAATATGTATGTACCATATGGGGAAAGAATTGATACTAATTTGCAATGCATGGCACTAACGTTTCCCATATACATATTATTTCTATACTAAATTTAAACAAATTTAAATTTAATTTTTAACAAATACGTATAAAAGTAAAAAAGAATGATGTACTCTTGTAAATATAAGTTCTTCGAGCTACGAGGGTAAGTTGAAAAATAAGTTTTCCCTGTCGACTGCGGTCAGAGTTGTGTATGAAAGTCAAAAAATAGAATGAGACATTAAAGATATGACATACCTTTATTTTTCTACATAGGTACCAAGTACATTGAGACATTTGTCATATCGCTTGATAAGCTTCAAAAAGCCCTCCAAGAAAATATCAGGGCTTTGCATATGGAAGAAGCATTGAACGGCTTGTTTCACTTCAGTATTGCTTCCAAAGCGCCTTACCCCGAGATTTTTCTTCAAAGCCGGAAACAGATGGAAGTCGCTTAGTGCGAGATCAGGACTGTATGGCGGATGGTGTAGGCACTCCCAACCAAGAGTTGCAATATGGTTTTGCGTTGCCGTCGCCGAATGTGGTCTGGCATTGTCATCCAACAGCAGAACGTCAGATGTGAGAAGGCCAGGCCGCTTTTTCCGAATCACCTCTTTCAATTTCGACAGGGTGTCACAGTAGCGCGTAGCATTGATGGTTCCAACCTCCAAAAAGTCCAGCAACAAACAAAGCGTCCCAGAAAACTGTAAGGAGCACTTTACCTGCAGAGGGAGTTGTCTTGAACTTCTTTCGGACAGGCGATGACGGATGTTTCCAATCCATAGATGCGGCCTTCAATTCTGGCGTGAAATGATAGACCCACGTTTCATTCCCCGTCACAATCCGAAACAGAAAGTCATTGCCATCTTCATGGTAATGCACGAGATGTTCCAGGCTGACCTCCATGTGTTGTTCCTTGTGTGTCGAGATCGATTGTCGGGGCACCCATCGTGCTGACACTTTTTGACCATCGTGCTTTTTGACTTTCATACACAACTCTGACCACAGTCGACAGAGGAAACTTATTTTTCAACTTACCCTCGTAATAAGAAGCTTATGACTGCAAAAATTCTCAATATTTTGAACACCATTTTAGCATTCTATCACAGAAGGAAATGGAAAGGATAAGCTATAATCCTCCAGGCAATTTACAAGTTTATGAACTAAAAGAATAAAACAACACAGCTGCCTTAATCAAAAGGCTTTATTAAATTATTTTTATTGTGAAGCACTTCAAAGCTACCTGTAACCTTACAGAATACTTTTCAAGAGATCTTAATTATTGGCCATTGTTAAGTCCACAAAAGAATATTATATTTTTAAAATAAAGCATAATATTAATATTTTAGTTAAAAAGCTAAACCCAACTTACAACTTTAACACATAACACAGAATATGCATTTCTTACGATGGTAACTAGTAATCTGTACTAACAGAGAAAAAACTACCCTAAACTCTACTGCACACATTCCCTCTTCGCATAAAAAGAAGCGAACAATCATATTTTATGTAAGAGACGTTTTGTACCAAAAAAAGATTAATTATTCTAGAAAGTGTATACTAAGAAATATTAGAGATAATATCGTTATTACTTTTAGCTTCAGAATTAAAAACAAAATTACCTTGCTTTTTAAGCTTCCAGAATCAGCTAACGAATTACTCAGTGCTTCTTTTCCCCCATCTGCAAAGAATTATTTAGAATAAAATATACTTAAAAATCAAACCTTATACAATGGAAAACAAAACAATCAAAAATATATGACGAGAGACAAATTTATTTTTAATTATTGCCAGAAAGAATTCAACTGCTAATAATTTAATACATAAACACAAATTTAATAAAGAAAAGAATCTAACTACCTCTGGTAATGGCATCAATTGCTTTGCTTTCATCATCATCATAATATTGTAAAATTTTTGCTATGTGGTCTTTTGTAGCATTCGGAAACATGTCATGAATTTTAGTAATCTAGAAAAATATTTAAAATTAATTTTTTTAAATTCAGTTTTTTTTTTTCTGTAATAGAACTTAAATCTACATAAAAGCTTTTCCATATATATATATATATATATATAACAGATTTTAAAATAAGATGGGAAGCCACTAAAATTAAAATCATTAATTGACTTAAAGATTGCTTATTAGTTGCTGCAGTGCAGAATATCCAAAAAATAAATATAAATACAAAATATTTAACATAAAATATAAGCAATTAGCTATACATCTTTTTATACAAAAAGCATGACTATGTATTTGTTAGGATTATTCAATTATGGCAAAGCCCATGAGGTCTATCTGCCTAAAGGGAGAGATGCCTTCATGGAGGACTTTCTGAGGGAAACTGGCTCATATACACGTTACACATGGGGGAAAACCACGAAAACGCCCATGCAGCCAGCCCGTTCACGGGATTCAAACCTCGGACCAAACTACCAGTGTTCAGCGTCTTTACCGCTCGGCCGCTGGTGGGCCCTATGTATTTATGTTAACCCATTGAGCAATTCATCAAAACACTATATGGACAAACTTCTAATGAACTGCTAATCGAGTTCCAATCAGTTAAAAAACAGAAATAGGAATGAAAGGATGAAACCTGTTATACGTACAAAAATTAAATATTATGCTCTGTCATTTCTCTCAGAAGTTTTTCACATCAACAGATCTCTTTAAAAGCATTTCTATTAAATGCATGTAAAGAGATCTGATGAAATCTAAGTTTTCTTTAAAAAAAAAGATTCACACTGCTATTAAATTTCTTCAGATTAAAGGTACAAACAAAAAGCTGAAACGTATCATTTGTATATTATTTATTAAAACACAGCATGAATTATAGGTTATGTATAACTGGCATCAGCATGAAAGGATGAATTAATAACCATCAAGAAAATGGCTTGGAAAGAAAGTCAGTGGCGACTGATGATTTTCCTAAATTTCTGTAGTGGATAGCTCAATGCCCAGATGGAAAGTTTCTATGATAATGGTTTACAACAGCTAATAATGAACTATGACCAATTTTCAAGATAAGAAATTATTTGGAAAACCCCTCTCATATCTACAATAAACTGACTCTCTTTCATCCAATCTTGGTTCAATTTATCTCCAGTTTAACAGGCCATATTTTAGCCAAGATCTTTTTTACTGCAATTTTCCATAGCCACTGTCAGAAAAGTACACTGCATTGTACCCAGAGACAACGTGTAACTTCATGCGAGTTAAATAAGAATATTACAACTTCTAGTTTTGACTAACTAAAGTGTATATTATTAAACTTATATGCCACTTCAAACTGGTTGTGGATTCTTAACCGACAATGATTTAGCCGCCACGAATGCTTAGCTGATAGAACACTTAGCCAACAGGACACTTAAAAGATAGACCTTTAAGTGATGGTAATTCACCTGATTTTTCTTAATCAACAGTATGTTTAGCTTACAATGCATACATGGAGATTAAAAAAAAAAAAAAATCTGATGTGTACACCACGACTTCCTTGTATGGAATATTAAATTATACACATTTTTTCTTGCATTTCATTTAAACTTATTGGATTGAATTAAATCTACTTCACCGACAACGCATAAACCACAATAGAATAAATGCATTCATTAAAATTCACTCTGTTTACCATAGCGACACTCTGGCGCTAGGTTCATTTAAAAGTATTATATTTCGTTCATATTATAACTCAGAATGCACAAAATTAATATCATTTAAAGAATTATCTAATCGTTGCCACATGTTCTATTCAAATAATATAATAAATCTAGAACGATGTATAAAAGAAATTAAGCAAACAAAACAAAAAAGAAACAGTTTTTCAAAGACGATTGAGTATTTCTCATTCAATTAATTCAGTTCTCACTTCGCGACAAGGCAGAAATACTTAAAAACTCAAAATATCTGTATTAAAAATTACGAAGTAAATTTTAAACACTTATTTCCTTGAAAAAATTCCAGAAAGGATTAAGCATGATTTAATTCGCAATAATAAATGAAAGCGTTATCTTTCTTGTTGCGCATCTAAGTTTCTCTAGATTGGCAACAAATCCACTATCCTGCTGTTTCAAATGTAAACAAGCAATGGCTGCCATCAAAAAAATTATTAGGCTTAGCGGCACTTAAACAATTTTAAAATTGTTGATAATTCTAAAAATATTGCATACAGACTTACTAAAGGCATAAAAACCTTAACCATAATTCAATCATTTTTAAAGCAAAAAATGTAGAATTTACAAACATATAAGAGTAAAGAAACTGAGATCACTGAGCCGGGTAACAGAGTCGATATTTATATACGTTTGGTGCGGCCAATTGCAACCAAAATATGAGGTGCACATCTACATGTTATAGCAGTCCTATATACAGAATTTCAACGTTCTGAGGCTACTCGTTTTTGAGTTGTGCGCGATACGTACATATGTTTGTACAGACGCCACAAAAAAATTCTCTTCAGAATTCATTTTAAAGCAGTTTTATAACTTTTTTTTTGGAGAAAATGAGTATTTTATTCTGCCCTTATGTACAGAAATCACGCAAAAACATTGTTAAATTGCGTTTGAAAGCGATCAAAATGGATATTTTCGTTGAAATATGCTGCCTGATACTTTTCGTGATTATAATACTTCCTTTTAACTTCGTACAAGGAAGTAAAAAAGTCACAATACTTTAGTAAAATTTGTTCATATTCATCCACCAAAAGGCTGTTACCAGGACACACAACAATAAGGTTTATGAACAAGTACTGCATTTTTGTTTTTATTTAATGCTAAAGAGTCTACAGATTTTAAAACTGGACCCCAAAACAAACTTATTTTGGCAAAGATTTTAAAATCTATTTTCAGAGCAATCAGACACAGGAGCAATACTATTTTATATGGAAAGAAATAACAGGAGCAAAAGAAAAATATGTGTACATCTGTCAAGGAAAAGAGTAACGAAAAGAGAGGGAAAAAAAGCAAGATCTTAAGAGATTTGAAAGCACTGAAAAATTAATATCATTAACTAACAAAGAAAAGAATTTCATTAATGTGGAAGGGTTTAAATAAATCTAATTTACTAACCGAAGAAGCTCTATGTACAATTTTTGTACATTGAAAGTCAAAATTATGATTATGTGCCCTAGTGATAAGCTACCAAAATTTTTTCTTTTTTTCAAACATACAATTCAAGTTTCCTGAGAAGAGCTTTCAACTCTCTTTCAGTCTGGGTCATATACCAAATCACATTGACATGAGGAACAGCATTAAACTAAAATTCACAAGATATATGACAAACCATATTAAGCTAAAATTCCACAAGTGTTAAAATCAGAGAAGGGATCTTTAAAAACTGAATGACGAACTTTGCTGACAGCTCCAAAAATAACCTGAAAAATCGAGCAGGGAGAATATAAGCAATTTCATATCTGATATAGAGATGAAATATTATGACAAGATTGTTAGGACCATTTTTAATGGCTGAAGATCTTTTCTGACAAAAAAAAGAAATATTTTTGAAAGGCTTCATGACTGATCATGGCAGAAAATCTTGAACTGAAGAAAACTGAATTAATGGAGAATCTGAGTAATTTCATAACTGAAAGAAATATTATGACAACAAGATTCTTAGGATTATTTTTAACAGTTGAAGGCCTTTATGATAGCAAAAGGACAATTTTTGAAAGGCTTAACACTACCTATGGCAGAAAACCTTCCCTCAATGGAAACTGATTTCAGCAAATTTTGGGAACACAATACATGCAATAGGAAAAAGGGACATACTTTTAAGCTGGCAGAGTGATTGACTTTGCACGAAGAAGCTAACAAACAGAAAAAGATTTACAGTAAGCAATTTCGGTTCTAGACCAAAAATTATGATCTATATATGAAAAATTAGAAGACAAATTGGCAGTTTCCACTACTTGAAAACAAACCCACCAAGTAAATGTTTATTAGGTTGAAACATGCCCCTTAGATGACGAAATATAATGTTCCTTAAGCACTGTAGAAATAGTTTTTAAGAAATAACCTATCAAATTTTTTACTGAAATATTAAGTCAGAGCTACCCATGATGAATTAAATGAAATACAAGGCATGTGCTACCAATAAAAAAGTATAATTCGACATGTATAGAAAATACTGCGAAACGAAATGTTTGACACTGAAGAATTTGAAATTACATTAATGGGTATTTTACAAAAAAAAAAGTGGTGGTCTTTTGTTGGCATATCCATTACATTTTGCTGCTAAAACAGAGCAATTTGTTAATGTTGCAGAAATATGCAAATTTGGTGACTGACAATGCAGTACACAATAGACACTTATTGGAATTCCGGTCTGGAGTGTTGCTTAAACAGAATGTTGTTTCTGCAAGTGATTAGTATTCAGCAGTTATGGCTCAAAGGCATTAAGTGAAGGTGAAAAGTAGCGAATTATTGGTAGATAAATAAATAACTGCACAAAGATTTGAATGTCCCTGAAAGTATATCAAGAGTATGGATCTGCTTTTTAAGCACTGGATCAATTGATAGACAGCCTGATCAAGGGCGACCAAGAGCAAACTATAAGAGATTTGATTTTAAGTCTTCAGGCTACCACAGGAACTTGAATTAGCCATTCCACTGCTGAACAAAGGCGTAATGAGGTTGGACTGCAAGTGAGAAAATCAACAGTTTGTGTTCCACTCATTCTAGCTTCTAGAGGGGCCCACTTAACCCTTAAGGGCACCGGTAAATTTTTTAACTTCCTAAAAAATGCTAATTTTTCTACACCAAAAGCTGTAATAGTAAAATCGTAAGTTTCTAGTATTTCCTTTTGATTTTAAATGGCAGCACTACCCTATGAATGCTCAATATTTTTCAGTTAGAAAATTAATATACCTCATTCCAAGGTATGAAGATTCATAAATTCTATTGTAGGAGAAAAAAAAATTCAAAATCTGCAAATATATGGCATACAGATGCTGAATCTTGTATATTTACTGCATTTCAGTCAGAAGTGATAATTAAAAGATTGTTTATACTATTTTAAGACCGGTACATAATATATATACATATAGACACCCATACTGAGGGTACCATGCCAATAGATGGCAGCACCAGGCTTCTTCTCTACTCTGTGAGATGACAGGAAGTTCTTTAAATCATAATAGTTTATGATGTAATAATTTGTTTATGATTAATTTATAAGTTGTTTAGGATTCAATATTAAGTCATGTCATCAAATTAATCCTGCTGTTAGAAATGTGTGTGTGTATTTAATTATGGCAAAGCACACTAATGCTATCTGCCTAAGGGGAGGGATGCCTTTCGTGGAGGACTTTCTAAGGGAAACTGGCTCGTATACACGTTACACATGGGGAAAACCACAAAAACACCCATGCAGCCAGCCCGTTCGCGGGATTCGAACCTCAGACCGAACTACCAGCGTTCCGCGACTTTACCGCTCGGCCGCTGTTAGAAATGAGCAGAGATATTATTACTTTTCCATTAAGCTTTATTCCCTTATAATTTTACTTAATATTCATTTACATTCATCCACTACGAAAGTTATGTATGTGCAGATAAAACAACATTACACGCTGCAAAAAGGCCGCTGGGTAGAATTTTTCGCGGATAGGAGAGGACAGCAAAAGGGTTAACAACAAAATAACAAAAATTTATCATGATATTGATTAAAATATGCACCAAAAAGTTCAGAATGCAACTCAAATTGATGCTGAACAACATAAACATATTAAAATAACTTTTCCAAATAAAGTACAATTGTCGGAATTTATTCTATATCCAACTAAAAATCTTACAGCTGCTTCTCCTTAAAGAAGTAATTCTTTGTTTTAAAGAATATCAGATGCTAGTAAACAATAAATAAGTAAAAGACTTGGCTTACTTTAAATAGAAAAGGATAAGGTACAAAATTCTATGCAAATATTTCAAGAAATATTCATAATAAAACTGAAAGATAATTTGATTTCACCTACAATTACATAAGCAGGTAAATATACTTAAAATTTCAGAACTGCTATTGACATTTTTATTAATAACCTGAAAGCAAGTGTATCAGATAGCAGAGATTGCTTGGTAAATTCATAAAATAAATACAGAAGTCTTTTTTTTTTTCAGGGGGTCGGTGGATCACATGGACAAAGGTCCTGTTCATAGACAGATACAACTGCTAAAACACATTTCTTACAATATAAATTCAAATAGATAACTTAAAGAACTGGGGGGGGGTTAAGATATTGGTGAGAAAAAATGTATCTTATCACATTTATTGCATCTGTGTACTTCTGAAAGTAATCAATAAAATTTCTTTTGATGTCTGCTGGAATGTTTCATGCCTAATAGACTAGCAGTTTCTTAGAGAAATATAAAACTTATCATTGTTCAAGTCATTAGCAAAAAAACAATTTCTATATATTGGTATACTCCTGTCAAAATGAATTATTTATTATAACAAATTTAGCTTACAGAGTTGAAAAGTTTGAAAAATTCCTGCAATATACACTATAGCTTCAACCTACCATTATGCTATTCCTCTAAGAATAGATAAAATAAGATTTGAGAAATGAACAATTTGGAGGTTATCCAAAAACTATTTGAACACAAAATACTTCAGTCTTAAAGGAATGCTACTATTCCGCTGCTTAAATGATTGAATTTATAATCATAGATAATAGATATCACATATTTAAATTAAAATTATATTTCAACCTGTGCTTTAATAGTTTTTTGTTATTCTACAAATTGAATAATTATAAACACTAAAACATTCTTCTTTTATACAATTAAGCTTTCTAATGTCTACTACTCAGAAATTTACACTGGAGTACTAACTATAAATGAATATTTATAAAATTTGGGAAATAAAATAAAAGATACAAAAATATTTAGAAAATGATTCTACCTTCAACACTTGACTTCATCTTTTTAGTTTTCAAAAGAAGTTTATACAACATAGTTTATACAATATTAAACTAAATTCTACAAAATTAGGCAAGTCAAAAATTTTAAGCCAAACAAGAAAAATTTTCAAGAAAATGAAATCCTATGAGATCATGCCTACCTCAAAAATGAGTTTAAAAAGCAATTAGATCAGGTGTTTTCAAACTTTTCAAATTTTGTACCACAAATGTAAGAATCAAAAATATATGTACCAACATATGCCAAAAAAAGCACCATTTTATATTTATTTTGAACACTAATTTAAATCCTTTGGATAAGAACTGTACCACCTAAAATAATGTTGTGTACCATCAGTGATACATGTGTCATAGTTTGAAAAACAGTGAACTAGAATAATAGTTTACCCAAATAAAGAGAAAGCATTAACAAAATTCTAGAGCATTTCTTAATGCTATTTAAAATAGCCTACCTTAGGTTAACATGTAAATTATACGTTATTTATTAATAATTATCTTAAAATGTAACAAATGTAGTAACTATAATAAATCACAAACATCATTAATACCAAAAAATACAGTCAATCATAAAATTAACTATGTATAATATTAGAAAAATATTTTATATATGCTAAATTTTTAATTAATTAATATTAAAAATTTTTCTGAATATGCATATCTTAAATAACCTAGCTCCTGTATATTTTTACGATACAAAATATACACCTCTCCATTTATTACATTGGATACTGCTGTTTATATGAATTATTTTAAAAAACACTTAAATGAGATTTAAAAAACAATGAAATAAATTGAAATATTTTTTATTTCTAACAAAATATTTCTTACCTTTTGCTTATTAGACTCACTAGCCATTTTTTGTTCTGAAGGCAAACTTATAGAAGAATCTCTAGTAACACCCTCTAAAGAAATAAGTTTGAATTTTTCATAAAAATTTAATTTATAATTGTAATAACAATAAATTCATACTAAAAATACTGTGACAAATATTTATACAAAATTTTTACACAGTTAATTTTACATTTTCAATAACTACAAAAATATCCAAGACTAAAATAAAATATTAAAAGGTTAGTACAGAGTTTCAAATTACAGTCCTGAAAATCTAGGAAGCAGAAACAAGTATTGAAAATTATTGCCAATGTAATGCCACTAGAACCAGGCTTTGTTTGACATTAGAGTCTGCATTACTCCAGCTGCACCTTAAGTATACACAGCAGGCTCTTATGGAGGAATAAACACTGCACTACTGATTTAGAACCAGATTCTTCTACATTCTATGGTAGGAAATTATGAAAAAAATCATAACATTAATTTTCCTTTTAAGAGCACTGCTAAATTTTAATTTACTATCACATATTTCATAACATATTCAAATTTCTTTTTGACATCAAAATAAATTGATTTACCTCAGAGAATTTTTAAACACATTTTTGAAATACATGATATAATACTTTATTTTTTAACTGAATCACATTTTGCATCATATTAACATTTCACACAAATAATTATATCAAGCATAGCTTTTAAAGATGTATTTTTTAAAAAAGTACAATAAAAAAATTATTTTTTTAGTTTAAATAATGATATAGAAATTATACTGTAATAATATTTCCTGTAATCAGATAACATATGTTTTATAATGAAACTAAAATTATTACAATGCCAGACCTTTTCAATATGCTTTTAAGTGAAGTAAAAAAATTGACAATGAAAGAGACCTCCCAAATAATAATAACAATCACATCGATCAAGTTATCCTGTGTTAAAACAGAAAACAATTACAAAGGAAATTACACAACATCAGAAAACCTCATTTCTTACGCAAAACAAGAGTAAGCTATATACAATAGTACAAATTTGAAGTAAAAGCTTATAACAAATATTCAGGAGAAAATCCTTTTAAGTTATATTATATATATTAAACCTTTCACACAGAAAAATTAATTATATATCAAATTTTTATTGCACTCCTTCCTTGATATTCAGAATTCCTTAATAGAGTGAATTTTACATACTAAGAATACTTCAAGAAGAAATTACAAATCATATTTAAACTTGTGTCACGGTAATAAACAACGTTTATTTTATTACACTTGCTTCAATGTAATAGTAAGCTGTCTGCAGATACATGCACACCAACTCGTTATTCTAGAATTTATAATTACTTACTTAGCTATTATGGGTAGATAATTATCACTCAATTCACAAACAAAAAATATTTTACACAATATTTAACTTTTAAATTTTAATACATATAAGAATTTTTTCGCTTATATTTCAGGTAACGGAGTAAGTTCTCATAGTTTACTCAAAAGTTAAACTATGTTATTTAATAAAGGTTGATACATATATGAGCATCAGTTTTTCTGCTATGTAAAAATAGAATAAATTTGATACCACAGTTTATAAATATGAGCCTATTCATTTCACTGGATAATGGCAAAGACTGCATAAGATAAAATATTTCCAATTTATGGATTTATTAAACCTCAAATTGGACACTTATGTGAAAACAACTCTCAACTTGTTCTTTCGTTAATCATAACCTGACACTAGGGTTGTCGACTCTGTCGAGATGCAATAAAGAATAGTGCAAAAATATTTAATTCCTTTTTTATTATTACTGCAAATTACTGGAATATAATTTAAAAAATTAATGTTTATATGGGAGCACAATTACTTAAAACTTCAAAAACAATTGAGAAAAGGTTTTAATTTTTACTTTTTAATAATTTATGTAATATATTGCTGATTAAACACAAAAGATGTATTATTGGAATAATCATTAGAATTTCAAAAAAAAATGTTCGATTTAAAAAATTGTGAAACTTTTTCTCGTTTTTAGAGGACTTAAGAAATTAAACATTACTTTTTTTTGGGGGGGGGCATATTCTGAGCCATTTTATTTCAAATTAAAAAAATATATACACAATTAATTTTTTATAAATTCAACTGAATACAATAAATGCCTGCTTAACGCAGAAGTTACACTCCATCAAAGTACAGCATTATACGAAATAGCATTAAACGAGATCAACTCATCATGTAAAATAATGGGGGTCAAGAGAAAACGGGTATTCAAGTATTTTATTATTTAAATTCATTAAATATGCTTTTTATAACAATACAAAATAAAAACTTCTTCTTACAAATATTGAAACATAACAAATAAATTTACAGAAATAAATAAAATTTTGTGTCACCATTTATATTTTAGATAGTTCAGATTTTTCTGCATTTCCAATTTTCTGTTTTTTTATCAAGAAGGTATCTAATGACATTTGCATTTTTCTTTTGCGCTCCATAAATTATCGATAAGAGGACAAGGCTTCCATGACACCCCATCTTGCCTTTGAACTCCTATAAAAATCTTCATCCTTTTCAATAATAAATAAGTCCATAATTTTTGTTCTGGAAGCTAAACTGGTTTTTAGAAATAGCGTTGAAAGTTCTTTTTTGCTCTTCTTCAGAATCACTATTTTTAATATTATGTTCTTCTTGGTCAGCTAATTCCATCAGCTCATCATTAGAAACACTTTCTGTTGCTTCTTGCAAAATTTCTTCGAAATCTTCTACATTTACTTCATCTAACCCTGTCTGTTTTACAAATTCCACTACTTAGTTCATATCAACAACAGAATTGATAGCGTCATCATCCTTGTTTAAATCTGGCCAAATGTTTTTCCACACTTCTTTCCAATATATTCTCATTATCTCATTCCAAAAAAGATTTAGCATCCATGATGATAATAAGCTTTAAAATTTGATACAACATCCATCAGCTGGATTAAATGCAAGTTGTGTTAGGTGGCAAGAAAACCACTTCGACTGACTGGAACGCATGTTATCAAGTCAGATAAATTCATTGTGTGGCTTGGAGCATTAACCATTAAAAATAGCACTTTTGGTTCACGTTTTTTGATTTTGCAATAGCATTTAAAACATGGGCAAAAATGTTCAGTGAACCAATTATGGAAAACTTTCATAGCTATCCACGATTTTTTTTTTTTTTTTTTTTTTTTTTTTTTTTTTTTTCAGACTCCTGACAAGAAGTGGCTTTAATTTGAAGTCACCATTGACATTAGCAACCAGAAGTGTTAAGCGATCTTTCACAGGAGAAAATCCTGGTGCATGTTTTTCTTCATGGGATAAAATGGTATGTATGTTTTGGCATTCTTTTCCAAAATAGGTCTGCTTCATTAACATTAAAAATTAAGTCTGGAGAATACTTTCCTTGTTAAATTATTGTTCTTAATGTTGCTGGGAATTTAGCCACTGCTTTTATATCTTCACTTGCTGCTTCTTCTGTAATCTGTATGTTCTGAAGATTATTTCAATGTTTAAATCTATTAAACCATCCTCAACTTGCAACGAAAGTTTCAGTTATGCCACCTGTTTCAATCTGAATGCGATTAAAAATTCTTTCTTTTCCCATAATAATAGCTTAATGGCATATTGCACTCAATTTTGTCGTCAATCCATATAGAAAGTTATTTTTCCATCTCCTCTATTGTATTATTTCTAGAACGAGCTATTCTAGTTGCAAAGGTTTTTTTGTAAATGTAGTTTGCTGATGACACTATTTTTTATTTATTCTTGAGAATTGTCCTTACTGTTGAAGTTGACAAGTTCAATGCAACACTAATTTGACATTGATGTTCACCACCATTTAATATAGCACTTGCATTTTAATTTCCAGAAAAATGCTTCTTCTTGTCTCTTTATTTTTCATGTTTCTCATTATCACCCATATTAAAAACTAAAAATTATAATATTATCACTATATCAATCATTACATTACATATATTTATACTTACAATAACAGCAACAAATGTTAAGTAATAAAAATATGTTTGTGTAATGCTACGGGGAAGAAGTAATGCAGATAAATTACTTTTGATTTCAGGGAAGCCCAATTTGCTCTGTGCAACTTTCTGCGAGTCCCACTACCCGAATAATAATGCATTAAATCAAAACACTACTAAATGGACCAGCGTTAAGAGGGGTCTAAATGTGCTTACTTTGTTCATTTCTCCATTAGTTGTTACACTAAAAATCTTTCACAGTATGCTGATGTAGCTGGAATTTAAAAAACACCTATAAAACTGTTTTTTAAATAGTCATACATTCTTAATCAGCACTTTTTAAAACCCTATGCCATTTGCTACTCAATGTTTCAAATCTAGTAAAATGTTTAAAAAAAAAAAAAAAGATTACTGTTACTTCATCAAAATGATCATTCATATTTAAACTCAACTTTTTTTCAACTTCAATTTGCAATAATCTCAACAAACTGATATGTTGGAAGTGAATTACTCAAGAGACTAAAAATTCACAATCTGCCAAATCTAGAATTTTTATCAAAGTATTCTCTTAAGTAACTGCTAAAAGAGAAGAAATAATTCATAGTTATTGTAATCTTTTGAGATTCAACATGATCTAAATTTTTCAAACACTGATGAACTTGAAAGACAAAAAAAAATTCCTTATATTGAGATCTCTTAAGTTGGTCAAAATACTGAAAACATCTGCACCAGAAGTTTCATTTTCAGCTAAGCTGAATATTAGCATTAAATGTTGTGAGAACAGCAACCATATTCAATAACTAGTATAATTCCTACAGAATCATTATCAGTTAAAAGCAGTTTGAATAATGATTACAATAATCATTTGTTTGCTTAAGAAATAAGAACTTAGGGCTTTCTAAACTATTTATATCCTTTCAATGCATGATATCAAAGAAAGCTAGCTACCTAGGCACATGCCTGAAAATTTGATAGAATTCTGATTCTACTAATAAATAAAATGCTTTAAATGCTTCACATCTCTTTGCCGACATTGCAAAATTGGCATAGATTTTTAGGACAATATTTTCCATGTCAAAATTCAAGTTTCCTAC